CCGACGGCGGCGCCCGGAGGATGCCGAGCGCTGGCGGGGACAGCGACAGCGCTTGGGGAACCGTGACACAGGAGGCGGCACCTCGCAGCATCCGACGGGGCTTTAATAAACGGCTTGAAAAGCTTTTCCTTTGTATAAAGCGAACCCTGTAAGAAAAAAATGCCAGCAATGTGCTCCAAACTTAAAAACTCCCCAAATGCTTTTAATATTAAAATAATAAAGCAGCTTAACTGCGTGTAAATAAAAGTAAGTTGGACTGATTGAAAATTGGAAGTGCTGAAAGATCGGGACCCGCGCGCAGCAAAGGTCCGGATTCTGCGGGAAAGCTCCGGCTGCCCCGTCTGCCCCTTGGTGAGCAGGAGATGCAGAGCTAAGGAGACGGCCGCGCGGGGAAGGAATGCGCTGCCTGGCCATGCATTATGCATCAGCCCTGCAAAACCAGCACGGGGGATTGTTTTGCTCCCCCGTTGTTGCCCTGCCTGAACTTGACTACAGTCCTGCCTTGTGCTGTGTCCTAGCTGTCCCCAAATCCTCTCTCTTCAAATAATTAAAAAAAAAAAAATGGGACAGTGGTTGGCCATGTTCGCTCACCGCAGGCAGTTGCCCTCATCTTTTGCTGGTGTGGAAAGGTAGGGCTCTGTGGTGGTGAGAGTCAGGCTGCCTCGTCAATCCTTTACCCTGGTCAGTTAATAAAACAGGGCCGTTTGTTTGTTTCTCCAAGGCTTGCCTCCACTGGATATTGAAATATGACCTAAAATACTAGATTTATTAAATTTTAGTAGAATTGATGACCAGAGAAGAGGTATATACTCTTGATACTTGTTGGATTCTTCCTTTGCCTCATTTCTCCTCTGAAAGCTGCTTACAAGTTAGAGAAGGAAAGACCTATTGTGGACCTGACTAGTTTCACTAAACCTACAGACGTGTGTTCTATTTTTAAGCCAGTAGTGAAAAATTTAAGACTACATGGTCTCTCTGAGAGAGACTGCTTGGAAAGCATTTATTTTAACTTCATGTGCTGCAGATTTATTTCAAGCAGCACAAAAGGATTCTGACATTGTGCCTTTTCGTGAAGGTTCTGTCCTTCAGCGCCAGCGTGTTCTTCCCTTTAGCTGTGCACCTTGTTGCGTGCTGTAAGGGATAACTAACCCTCACACCTCAGGAACAGTCTGGCGTCCATCTGTAGAACTGTGTGAATAAGAAGTGCTGGAGATAAACTTAGTCATTTAGCGGTAATCAAATATATAGTACCCCTGGGGGAATTAATGAATTGCATTATAAGTGTAATTAATGATTGCTCTTGCATTTCACATTTGAAAAGCATGTTTTGCGCCCAGAATGCATTAAGCCATGGGAAGAGCTGAACTATAAAAGTTAATTTCAGCTTGAAAGCAAGAAGTTATGGTTTTGACCACATACTTAGAGCTACAAATCGTTTGCAGTGGCTGGAAACTTGGAGCTGTAGTTCCTTTCGGCTCTGGCAGTGAGATATGCTTAGGGTTGCTTTGTGGATGTGTGCTTAAGCAATCAGAAACCCCGATCTACATATTTGTATGCTTTACAGGAGTACATTAACAAACTGATTGAAGACTTGCTGGATCTAGTTGCAGCCCATCCATTGGCTTCAGTGGTCTCTTGGTTGGATCTTACAGTGGAATCCTCTACTCTGTTGTGTAAACATAGTAAAGGAAATCCCACTGACAAGTATTATTTCCCTCTGCTTCTTCCTTTCTCTGTGCCCTACACAGCATAGTTAGTGCAGGCGTTCTGAAAATAGGCAAGATGGAAAGTGATGGGTTGTGAAGATGATGATATTATACTAAACTAGCTCTGTGACAGCTGTAAATTAAACAACTCTGTGTTACTAGCACCAAGTTATGCTCTCATATTGGTAGATGACTTTTTCCAAGACTTATTTCCTGTGAAAAGGAGTGATGTGCTGAGTTTTTTTCCCCTTTCTTTCTCTTGCCTCTTAATTTGCAGTTATCTCTAGGCAGTAACTAAAACATTATTCTCTGTGCTCCTGGTGACTCATGGTGCTAACTACTATCATCCTATAAATGGATTCTGCTAAACTGGAGTCTCTTTGCTTAAAGATCGCTTGCATAAGAGCAGTCCTTGTGAAAGCAACGCAGGATGTTATGCGTGAAGCTCCTTAGGGTCGAGAGCGCTTCTGTTTATTGGAGTGACGGCTTCAGTAGCTCTGAGAGGTGCCTCTTGGAAGCCTCTCTAAGGTTGCAGTTATTTTCCAAGGATAACCTGTGTGTGCTTCGTTGTACAGCCCGCCACCCTGGGAGGCAGGGGGCTGTTACCCAGTGTACGTTCTCCCCATCCCAGAAGGTTTTTATAATTTGGCAGCTGTGAGTTTCCTTTCTGGGACGATCCCTTTCCCTAAAACCTCTGCGTTCTCCCCTGCAGTTCCAGGAAAACACCATGGTAAATTTTCTCTTACATGATTATGATAATCTCTCTTCAACATTGTTTTTTTTCAAAGCTCTTGCTAAACTTTTCCTCCTTCTCTAAGTTTATCATGCTGCTGAGCTGCTAATGCAGGACCGGATCTCTTTCCATACTTTCTTTGAATTGCGTGAGCTTCTGTTGCTCTTAATTGCATTGCTTGTAAGTTCTGGTGTTTCCCTTTGCTTTGGAAGAAGAGGCCTGAAATTGATTGAGGTGTAAGGGTCTTAAAGCCTGCTGCTACCCCCTGCTCTGTTGGGGCTTATTTAGGATATAAATGGAACTGCTTTTTTTCCTGAAAATTCCTCGAAGGCATGTGTAATATTCCTTATCTTCCCACTCTTCCCAACAAGAAACTCTCAATAGGGAGGTTTTGGCAGCGTTGCTGCTGTCTCTCCTTCCTGTCCATCCATCTCTAAGAGCCACTGAAGTCAAGGAGCCAGTTCTGATTAAACAGATATTTCTGCTTAGCACGAAAGTGAAGATTATTCCCTGGCCCTGTTCAGGCTGCGGCTAGCCCAGGGAAGCAGATGGAAGCCTGGAGCAGTGTGAGGGTGTCCTGATGGTGTGAATGTGGCTGCCTTACCTGCCTTCTGTGCTGCAGGTGGTGGTGTCAGAGCTGCCCCTGTGCTTCCCTGGGCTGAGCAGAGCCCTCTGGCCTCAACTGTGATGCAAATAGGTACAACTGGCTGGAGTATTCTTGTATTAGTTCAGCAGCAGGTTTTGTAAATGCATGTTTTCTTTCAGAGGTGTTTTACCTGACAGGGAGCTCTTCTCCTGTGCAGATTTTCTGTAAAGGTCCAAATAGCTGGGGTTTTGGCTATGCCCCAATGCGTTCTTCCATTTGTTCTCCTGTAGTGGTGGAGGGAAGAAAATGCAAACTGAATGTTAGCATTGGAAGGGCAGGTTAAATCTGCTGTGAAGCTCTGATGTTCGTTTTAGTACTGATGTATTTTCCCTCCCCTTTCCCTCTTCGCAGTGGGAGGAAGTAAGCATTATGGATGAGAAGAACACTCCGATCCGCACCTATCAGGTCTGCAACGTGATGGAGCCCAGTCAGAATAACTGGTTACGAACTGATTGGATTCCCCGCGAGGGGGCTCAGAGGGTGTACATTGAAATTAAGTTCACTCTGAGAGACTGCAACAGCCTGCCCGGAGTCATGGGAACCTGCAAAGAGACTTTCAACCTTTATTACTACGAGTCCAACAACGATAAGGAGCGTTTCATTCGAGAGAGCCAGTTTGCCAAGATCGACACCATTGCTGCGGATGAGAGCTTCACCCAGGTGGACATTGGCGACAGGATCATGAAGCTGAACACAGAGATACGGGACGTGGGGCCACTCAGCAAGAAAGGATTTTACTTGGCTTTTCAGGATGTTGGCGCCTGCATTGCTTTGGTGTCTGTTCGTGTCTTCTATAAGAAGTGCCCGTTGACAGTTCGCAACCTGGCACAGTTTCCAGACACCATTACTGGGGCTGATACATCCTCCCTGGTGGAGGTTCGTGGCTCTTGTGTCAACAACTCGGAAGAGAAGGATGTGCCAAAAATGTACTGTGGGGCAGATGGCGAATGGCTGGTGCCCATTGGCAACTGTCTGTGCAATGCAGGCTACGAAGAACGCAATGGTGAATGCCAAGGTAGGACCAGACAAACTGTGTTTTTGTTTGGATTTAGTTGATGTGTGACTGATTTGAAGATTGGAGTAAGTGTGGGATGCTGTGGGATGTAGTAGGACAGCGGGATTTGATGGAAAAAGTCCAAGAGCTCCAGGTTGCAAGACCAAGAGTATCATAATCTGAAATAAATGATACTAGCATAATAGATTGAAGGCAAAACACATTTTCCAGCAGGCACCTTAATTTGAATTGGCTTATGATAGCCAACAAAAGGTGAAAGGCTGACTGCAAGGCAATGCAGCTGGCTTATCATCATATAAAGAGATAAAAATGTTAGAAGTTTGATCCAAACCAAGTTTGTCAAGCACAGAAAATTCTGTCTGTCTCCTTTTAGGCCTGGTACTGGGGTAAGAACCTGTTGGGAAAGAAAGTGGAGTTTTAGCTAGTTTGCTTTCCCTCTTTGGAAAGGGGAGATCTTTGATGTTTTGCTTCTTACAAATTTTTAGTGCTAAATAACCCTTTGATATCTGACACTGCTGCCTTTGCTAAATATTTTCATTTCTCAGCGGGTTGCTATTGTCAGCCTAATAATAGAGGTGCTAGGATACTCCTAGAAATGCTCAAAGTCTCTTCCTTCTCCCCCCGCCTTCCCAATCCTGTGCGTTGCAGATGTTGGGATTAAAATTTTATTTAAAAGATAGATCATCCTAAAAACAAACAAAAATACACACAACGCACACACAAAAAAATCCCCTGTATTCTCTTCACCATCCCTTTCTGGAAAAAAGCAATAGTAAAAGATTTGGACAGGAGGGAGACTAAATAGTATCTCGGGCCGCAGTTTAGAAACCCTTGCTCATCTAAGCATAAACTAAGGTTAAACTTGAATAGCTTCTTGCACAGTTTTCCAGTGGGATTAATCTTGCATGATGCTGAATTGCATGTGCTCAACTCTTCAATGGATTTGGATCCATATTTTTGGAGAAAGTGATTTTGATTCAAATGACTTCACTTTTTTGTTGTATTGTTCACTGGCTTGTTTTCTCATCTTAGGGCTGAGAACACAATAGTAAAGCAAATAAGCAACTGCTTTTGTGCTAGACTCCTAAGAAAAATGTCTTTTTAAATGTCCTACTCAGTTTCTTTTAAATGATAATTTTCAGTCAACATGAAGTTCATTATTATGCATTGGGAATTAAGCTTTGGTGGAGAAGAGGCGCTAAGCACGAGCCTCAGCCTTCATTTTTAGTGTTTTTGCTAGATGGAAAAAGTCTAAGTGCATCTTATCAGCTGCAAAATTACACGAGGCTGTAGTGAGAATTGAAAAATGAGCAGTGTAATGACAGAGCATCGTATTTAGAGTAAATTACTCTGTCTTTTGGAATCAAATGAGACAAAGCTGGAAAGCTGTATATCATTCAACACCAACATGTTGAATGTTTGTGCTGGATGGGTGCTCTTTGCAGGGACCGTGGTGGCTGCGGAGCTGCTGTTTGCAGGTAGCCCAGTAACTTACAGGTGAAGCTTCTTAACAATTTACAGCCCGGGTTGTGAGAGTAGGAAGTGAATGGGAGGGGGAAAAGGTATTTTGGTTTATTGCATGGAAATTATTCTCCCTTCTCTTCAAGGGCTGTTGGGTCAGTACTGGGTCACATTAACAGATCTAATGGCACAGACGGGAGGAGTTAATTGCATAACAAATCCTGTGCTGTTCCAGGGAAATGACTCCAGGGTTTTCTGATGTGCAATAGGAGTGATGGTGGATGCCTTTGGAGCGGACCTTGGGAATGAAGTGGTTTCCTTTTTCTAACATTTGTCTGGTTACGTTGCCTACAAGCTTTAGGCAGCGGAGCCCAGAGAAGCTTGGGCTCAGGAAACCCAATTATTGTTTCCCAGGTTGAAGGAAAATCAAATGAGACCATATATAGAAAGAAGAAAAACACTTGTCTCCCGCGTTCTCCAGAGCAGAGTTAACTTGTGCCAGCTCTTTGGAGGATTTGAGCCAGCAAGTAATTTGAAAGCGCTAAACCCATTTCATCAGTGGTTATTTGTGGTTTCCTTTTTCTAACATTTGCCGCTGTGCAGCCAGAAGAGTTTCCCGGGAAGCTTCCCTAATTCATGAAGTTTACCAGAACTTTGCCGTTCGCTCTCCGGTCTCCAGGAAGAGATTTAAAACAGTCTGGCCTTTGACACTGCTGAATGAGATTTGCCATTTTCTTGCCCCACTTAACTTCATCGTTCAGCATCGTTCTGCTCCGGCAGGTCTGGGGAGGGTGAAGCAGGGCGGATTCCTGTGGATTGGGAGCAGAGGAGGAGGAGAAGAGCCCTGGCCTTTTGCAAAAGGCTATGGAGGAGCCGGGCAGGGCCGGAGCTAGCGAGCAGGTTCCATCTCAATTGCTTTTCAATGGCTCAATTGTGGCAGGGCCGATAGGAGGAGGTCAGAGGTTGCCCGTTTCCTCATCCATCTTCCTGGCTGATCCCGGGGTCACAGTTAAGATTGATTAAGATCTTGCACGTTGGACAAAGGCTGCTGCCCAGGACGCTGCGAGGCCTGGGGGGCGGCGGGGCTGCCCGTGCTGGGGGGACGTGGGGACCTTCCCGCGCACCGGTGACGCCGGCACGGTTGTTCCTGACACTTGTTCAAGGTTCTTCCAGCTCCTGGTTTCACACGATGGGTTTTTCTTTCAGTTACTTTTGCTCAGTTTCTGGTGTGCATAGGGGGAAACCTAATGGGAAGCCACTAGTCCTCCAAGGTGGTTCTTATAATGGGAGTTAATGACTCTCTGACCTTCAATGGGATTTTTTTTAAGTGTGTATGTGGTGGGGAGTGGGGTGGAAAATGATCACACAAATTTCTTCTTCCTTTGACTGTTATTTCTTTCCAGCTGGCTTTATTGATAGGAACTGTCATAGTGAGCACTCCTATGTACACAAAAAGGCAAGGCAGGAAGGGAAAGGAGCTAAATATTTAATCCAGATCGGCATGGGAAGCTTCGCAGGTGCGTTGCAGTGCTGGTCTTTAGGGATGTTAGGTGAGGAGCGATTCTTCCTTACGGTTGAATTTGCAGCTGTGAATGCGCCACTAAAAAACAAATTTGCTGTTTTTTTGTTTGTTTGTTTGTGTTCTTGTATGGGTTCCTGGCTTTTATCCTTCCCCCCAATTTTTTGTGTTCTTGCCTAAATGGACAGCCAATAGCACATGTGGAATATTGGTAAAGGAACAGGAAATTATCCTAACGGGTGACCCACTTCAAGGCTAAGGTAATCGGTGCTTCAGGGCAGAACTAAGGCATGGAGTAACTTTTAACTTTGCTTGTATGTATCATTATCATTTTAATTTTGTTACACATTAATACGATGTGGTTTGGCTTTAGTTGTGATTTCCTTATGATAAAGTGCATATCTCTGCTCAAATGGAAGAGAAAAAACAGGAAGGGAGGAAAGGCAGATTAAAGAAGCAATAGACTGTAGCCATCTGTGATGATTTTGATGCTGTGAAACTACAAATCTCAATTTTAGACCTGCCATTTAGTATAAATATGTGAGACAGTCGAGATTTTTACTGTGATATCGTAAAGGTTATGAGAGCCAACAGCTTTGTCTTCGTCTACACTTGCTTTTGTGAGTTGTGAATTGGCCAATTGGCAGAAAATCCAGTGTCATTTAAAATATGGCTCAGTTCTAGTTTCATATCACTGCCATTTTTAGAATTTTCTTTCTAACTTTGATAAGAGCTTCCGTAAGAAATAATAATTTGATAAGATTCCTTTTATCTCAGCAGCTTTGAAGAGTGACTGTGATCATTGAGAGCAGCAGTTGAGCTTGTATCAGAAGAGCACAATTTAATTATTTTTCCTTTGATAATGAGCCCTTTTTTGGATGGCGGGTTGTCTGGGGGCGGGGATGTGAGCACTAACTTGTGCTTGCTTCCTCTTTTAGCCTTGGACTTTTTTTAGTTGGAATAACGCTGAGCAGTCTGGCTGCACAAAAGGGTGACTAAGACTGTGCAGAGCTGAGATTTCACTGATTTTTTTTTTTCCAGGTTGCTTTTTTTTGGCAATGGGGAGGGGAAAAACGCACAGACTCGCTATGTTATGATTTTAAAAACAGAGAAGACAGAAGCTACCAGGAGGGGCACGGGAGCCCTGCTGTAACACAGCCTGTCTGAGCCAGCCCATTCAGTCCTTGTGTTGGGTAAGGGAGGGATCTGGTTCTGCTCTGGGGGAGCCGGGCGCGCTGTCCGAGGCTGCTCCCGCGGGGACGCGGTGGCTCCTGGCGCAGGTCTCCACGCGGCCTCGTGCAGGCCCTGCACGGTGCCCCCTTCCCCGCTGCTCGCCGTGAGCCTGGGGTTGCTGCCGGGAGAGTTCCGGGGGGAAAGGCTCCTCCTGCGCGAGAGCGATCCCTGCTCGGGGCCCGGAGACCAGGACCTGCTCCTCCTGCTGGTGTCACTGCTCAGGAGGCAGCTCACAGCCCTCTCCAAAGCAAAAGAGAGGACAGAAGGATCTCACAGCACTTTGGGATGCTCTTTTGTGGAGTGTATGAGCTTCATTTTGTTGTCTGAGTGTTTTTTTTTTTTTTTAATCTTTCTAGATAACTTGTTTTGCATGTGATGATTCCAGTGTTTAGATTTTGGCTGCTTAAGGGTTATTTATCTGTGGCTAATAACATGCTCCACTGACTGCAGTCTTTATTGCCCTTGTGAGAAGAAAAGATTAAGGAAACGCTCAGCAGTACCTTTTACTCTTTGGAGACTGCTTTAAAGAAACAGCCCCCAATCCTGTGGGATGATAAATCTTACCTGGTTTTGCTCCCTGATGCCACCTCCTTTTGATATGTCATGAGGAGCAGGTGAGGTCACCCAGCTTTGTGAATCCGGCACAATTAACACTCCCATGACTAAATGGACATTTTATGAATATTCAGAGCCTGCTTCACCTCCCTGGGAAGCAAACACGTTGGTTCCCTTCTTTTTCCTCCTGCCAGAGACAAGGAAGCTCTCCCTGTGAATGGGGATTGGCAGCTGTCGGCTGCTTTGCCTTTTGCATGCGGCGAATTCCTCATTTACATCTTTTGTATACAGCCCCATGCAAAGCAGGGCACCCGTTTCCCCCCTTCACAAAGGAGATAAGAGCTTCCTTTGGAAAATCCAGCCAGCATCGCCTTCTGTTTATGCAGAGCTCAGAGGTTTGGCTTTGATGCAAATGCGTTCTGCTGGGGTTGCAGCCCCTGTCTGAGGGCTGCGGAGGGCAGCGCCTGCAGCGCCGCGTCCCCTGCGTCCTGCCCGGGGGACCAAGGGCCTTCCCGGCCGCAGGGAGGAGGAGCCGCTGCAGGAGCAGCACAAACTGCCACCAAAAACACAACCCAGAGGGACTCTGGAGCCGGCCTGGCCACGGGGAAGAGCTTGGCGCGTGGTGCCAGGTGGAGGAAGCGGCTGGTAGCACCTGGGCACAAACGCACAAACAAAATCACCGTCTCTATCAAAAGCAAATAATCAGTGAGAAGTTCTGCTGCCTTAAGCCTTGTGATTCTGCAAGAACCCGTATTTTACTTTACTTTGGTTTTAGGGGTTTTCTTTTCTTTTTAACTTTTCTTTATTTCAACTTCACTTAAAATTGCCTTTGGCTTGAAATGAAGCTGAGGCTCATTAAGTGCTCCCAAAACACAGGCTTGTTCAGAACGGATTTGTTGAAAGGTTTATTGGTATAAGTTAGAACACATGCTGCATGAATGTACTATGTTTCTTTAAAGTACTGGTTTTCATTCTGCGCCTTTATAAATCAGTGGTGTAAAATTGGGACCCTGGTTGTGTTGGGACTGCATCCTATTTAAAAAAAAAAAAAAAAAGGAAATATTAGGTTTGGGAGGGGGTTCTTTTTTTTTTTTCTGGGTGTCCAATTCGTGTTTAACTTGAAAGTAATTTCAGAGGGATAGTAAACTGCTCAGTGTGAAACCTGGTGCATAATTTAATGGAGGAAAAACCCTTTTACAACAACAAAGGAACGTGCAAAAACTTTAGTTTTGCTCACTTAGTCAATGAGAAAGGGAGGATGTGCTGTTTAAACTACAATGTGGAGGAGCTGTTAAGGTTAAAGCAAGTCCAGGCCGTGCTGTATGGTTGGTATGTGCTTTAGCTGAGGTACTTAGGGATGCCAGGAGGGAAACCCTCGTGCGTGTGGTGGGAATGGCGGGGAGGAGCGACGCGGGCGCGAGGCGTCGCGGGCTGAGCTGGTCCTGCTGCCCAGGGCCTTGCACCTAAAGGTGCCTTTTGTCCCCTTCCTGCCTGGCCAGAGGACTCGGCTCCCACTTTCTAATAACTTCCAAGTCTCGAATG